CCCTCCCTCCCTCCCTCCCTCCATCCATCCACATTTCCTACAATGTCAAGAATTTTCCACTGTCGTTTATATCAGGTAGCAGTTTCTGAGAAATATCCTCCTCAAGTGCAAATTATCTAGCCTTCCCCAACAGCGAACTTACCGCCTACCACCTTCAACTAGGCATGTTTAACATTTTCTGCAACGATCTGAGGGTCCTTCACATATTTCTGTGCAAACTCACGTGTCCCGTGCGGCAGCTGTTGAATCTGGTCAAGGCTTAAGCAGTCAATTGCCCTCCACGGTCTCTAATCCTTGTACAGTTCATTTGGTGTTCGCCCTGTCGACAAATGTACAGAGTTGTTGTATGCACTAGCTGCCTTAGGCAGATGCTTGTCCCGATCTATCTGATCATGTCTAATGTACATGTGAAGATTCGGCTATAACAGCTTGTTCATCTGTCCTCTGTCCATCGGTCTCAGGGTGCCTACTGCGTGACATGAACAATTGTGACCCATATATACTTTCATCAATTGTTCCCAGTGTTCTGTTGTGAATCTAACGTCTCTATCACTAACTATCGTCATGGATGACCATTATCTTGAACCCAAGTTTGTCTTTGCCTTGGGCAGCAACGGAACAAACACTGCAAACTTATTGAATCTAAGCACTATGATTATCACTTGAGTATTCCCTCTTGTGCTGTTGACTTTCATATCCATAAAATCGATGGATATGGACTGTAGGGTCCAGAGGGAATAGGTAGCAGCTTCACTAGTTCTAGTGGGTTGCATTGTGCTCCATTGCCATACTTCGCATCCCTGAGTGTAGCGGATACAGTCAGATTTCATACTGGCCCGTGTACACGATTTGAGCAGATCGGCACAAGTCTCCCTCCATCCAATGCACCCTTCTGTGTCATGGTACTCAGAGTATTAGACTATGGATCTCATCATTATTCAGGATACACAGTTAGTCTTCACCGCTTGAGAAACAATAGTATGTTAGCTACTCTATATTCAGGCTCCTCACGAAGTTCCTCTGTTGCTCTAGTGATTATGGCACTTAAAATCTTGTACCTGCAAAAGCAGCCTGTATTTCCTGCTGCAGTTCCTTCACTGCATCGCGGTACGTTACAATCGTTCCAAAAAAGTCCGCTCTCCTAGAGAACTCATCTGCTACTACATTGTGCTTGCCTTTGACCGGGTTCAGCTCAAATTCAAATTCATCAACCTGTCCTGCCCACCTGGCTAACTTCATTGACATCTTGGCTTGTGTCTTAAACCAACGCAGTATCTCATGGTCAGAATAAACTTTGAAATGTCGGCCCAGGAGGTAGGGCCTTCAAGTGTCTAGTGCCTCGTGCAGTGCTAACAGTTCCCTCTCATATGTAGACACAAATACTTTCTCTGATGGTAAACGTCTGGACATGAACTCTATGGGCTGGTAGCCATTCCCATCATCTTGCGGCATAACAGCCCCTATTCCATACTGGCTCACATCGGTCATGACTACAAAGGGCGCTAAACGGTCCGCTATTCTGCACTGGTTATCCGGTTAACGCCTTTTTCAGTTTCCGAAATGTGGAGGTGTAATCTTTATCACATAGCCACAATGCCTACTTCTTTAGTAGTTTGCATAACAGAAGAAGAAGATGGCGCCTCTCAACACAGCAGGTACTGGCTTACACGCCGCCCTCTTCTGCACAACAGCGCTGGCTGACATGGTGCTGGCTGGCATTGCGCTGCCTTGCATGGCGCACAGGCATGCATGGCGGTGGTGATGGCTCAATGCAGGCAATGGCGTGCTGGCTGCTGTAGCACAAATGGAAGGAACGAGGGAGGTCGCAAGGGTGGCAGCAGCAGCAGCGCGGAGGCAAAGTGGGAATGGCAGCAGCAGCAGCACCAAGCGAACATTGGCAGCACGAGGGGCAATGGGGGTTGCGAATGGGGAGGGAACAGTGGGCGCCCAAAGCAGGTTTGAAAGGTGGCTGATCCGGGCCACCGATCTCGCAAGATTGGTGGCCCAAATGGGCTGCAACGTTTCCTTGAAAAATGGGGCCTACCATCCTCGGTTTTTTTTTTTTTTTTTTTTTTTTTGGGGGGGGGGGGGGGGGGGGGGGGKGSGGSGGCCTCTTCAAGGACATAGGCCACTTTCGTCCTGGTACCACGTACCCACGCCGCCCGTGAGCGAAAATGCGCTGTGGCCAACCGGAGGCAAGCCAGGCCGATACACCGGCCGGTCCAACTGGAAGGCGCCCAGTTGGAGGAAGGCCCCCAGGTCAAACCGGAGAGCAGCGATGATACATGAGCCTCCCGGTTGGAGGAGGGTCCTCTGGTCGAACCAGAGACCAGCAATGGTACACCGATGTTTCCATTAGTAAAGAGATCATGAGTTTGAATCCTGCTTGAATCAGATCAATACATTAATGTTAGGAGTTATCCCCTTCCACAAGATATGACTTCCCCAATCATCACACTGGCCACCATCCAGCCAATGAAGAGGTAGGGTAAAATGACAAGCAGAAATATAAACCAGAAAGAATGAAATAGAAGGAGACTAAATGCATTGACACACATGCAGACAGAACAAAGGATACAAAAAGAATAGGCTGGCATTTTGTTACAGACATGCCTCCTGGCATCTGTGCAGTTGAGCAGGAGTTGTCTACACATCTATTGGGCCAGAATCATGACACTACTCAATGTCACGAGAGCACACCTGATTTTAATGCGGATGTGGTGTGCATGGTTTTTGTATTCTGTCTGCAGGTGATTGGGTGGGGTTGCTTGTGCACATACCTGCACTAGTTAAGCCCTTAGAACGCACGAAGTTTGGGTGAGTCCTGGAATTGTGGGTATCCAGAGCAGGTGGACTGGGAGTATCAGCCCCATGTCCATGTCCTCCTTTTTCTTTTTCTCTTTCTCGTTCACCATGTGCGTGATTATCATTTGTCTCCTGACCGTGCTGAAGATACTTGGAGCCAGACCCCATTGCTTCACTTGTACAGAATTGCACACTTACCCAGCAGCTCCCCTACCTGCACCTGCAGCAACAGCAGGACAAAAGAATAAGGAAAGAAAAACGGGCGAAAGTAAGAGAGAGAGAGAGAGAGAGAGAGAGAGAGAGAGAGAGAGAGAGAGAGAGAGAGAGAGAGAGAGAGAGAGAGAGAGTGTTGCATACCGTATAGGTGCAGACCAGAACAAGAACCGACCTTTCAATACAAGGTATAAGATAGCACAGCGGAAGGCTTAGATACCAGTGATCCG